AGTTGTAACCCTCAACTTACTCCTTTTTATTCTTGAGTCATGAATGTATACGCTAAGAATGTTGAAATTGCGTAAACTTTTAATACTTGAGTTCTGGAGTCCAGGGTTCAAACTAGTGGTCTGAGTTCGTCTAACAGTAAGCTATTATTTGGAGACCAATATAATCATGATGAACCTCTTTAAATCGTATCTAGATCATTTTTCTCACTTTTCAGAAAAAAGTGTGCGAAGAACTGAATGAGGCCAGAAAGTGGACATTCCTCTCTCCGTAAATAAAATTACCACCGAAGTTGAGTTACCTCATTTCACTATACCGAAACTTGAGATAGGTCAACAAAGTTACAGAAATACTGACAATACACCATTTGATCCAGCAAGCGGAACAAGGGAAGAATTTGACTGATCTCCTAATTGAGTTTATTCTATTACTGTGCCTTAGAATCGTTTGCATCATTGCACCTAATTATTTGACTTAATTCCTAGCAGTTGATGAGAAAATTCACTTGGTTAAAAGATATAACTCGACCTGACCTAACCAATCTCAATCTCGCGGAAAATGGAAACAACTAAACCAAAGTCAACATGCCTCTCTTGAAAATTTTGTCGGTAAAAGATAACTCAACTTGAGTATTTACATATCAATCCTAAAAAGAATCAAGTCAACTTTACCCCCTCTCATTTGAAGGACTGAACAGAAAAACGGGCCAAGTCCCAAAAAAACATCAGGGGAACACTCTCTGCTGACTGTAGTTCCACTTGGCTTGTCTCTACATTCCACTTCAATTCCAAGTATAAGTTGAGACGACTCTGTTTTCCATTGAAGCGGAAATTGATAACTTACAGATATCCTCTAGGCAGTGACCTGCCTCTCCTGATGGTTATCTCAAAATTTAACTTACGCTTCTTGAACTTGTTATCATCCATAGCAGTCCTTTGTTTAGTTTTAGTTTTCCCCGATAACAGTTTCTTGTTTCCCCTGAAATATGGTCAAAATGGAATTATCCCCTTCCTCCGCTTCCTGGATCAATTTTTTCATAGTGATCTGTTAGTGGTATGAATGAGTATTTGTAGTCACAATATTTTAAAACAAAAGCCTGGAACCTTTTTTTTTGGCATTTCCTGAAAAGTGATCGATTTGCCTTTTTTCACTTAACTGCTTCACAGCTCAGAATTTGACGTGAACGGCTTTTTGAAAAAAATTGTATAGGGTTGTACTACCTATGGCATACACACTTAATTCTTATGGACTTTTTAAATGCATAATTAAGCGTTTTTTATGCGTAGTTATGCATGCGCAGATACGTCTACATTATGTATAATATTATGCATCACTGTGTACATTTTGTCTCAAAATGTACACAGTGATGCATAATTGGCTGAGCGATAGCGAAGCCTGTTACTCAGGTAGGGTTGAAAAATTTTTCCTGTCTGCGTGCGTGTGTGTGTGTGTGTGTGTCCGCGCTACTCCTCCTGAACGGCTCGGCCGATCTCGGTGAGATTTTGCACTCTTTTTGGGTATGTCCTTGGCTCAGCACACGCGAAATTTCACTATCCTAGCTCAACTGGTTCGGTTTTTATAGCCGAAAAACACCTAAAAAACGGCGAAAAATCGAGTTTTCTGCAGGCAGATCACTTCTGTCTTGAAGAAAGGGGGGTCTGGGGGGCGGGCCCTCCCAGCCTCGACAAGTTAAAAAGTCAGGCCAATGGGGGGTCTAGCCCCCCAGCCTCGACAAGTTAAAAAGTCAGGCCAATGCAGCCTTACAAGGGAACCTATTCAGGAGGTACACTCAGATTTCGACCAAACTTTTATTGTCGTAAGAATAACATATAAGATTAAGAATGCACCCCAAAGTTGGTGCCAAGATACATATCCACACCCCTCCTGACTTTTTTAAACCGAAAAAAGGGCTAAAATGGCCCATGTTTTTACATGCAACGAGCAGATTTTCGGTCGTAAATTGGGCAGTCGCACCAAATTTGTGCAAAATATGATAATATATGAAACAGACCAAAATTTTCTCTCATTTTCGCAAGGGGAAATAACTCCTGAAAATTTGTACACCGAAATTCAAAATTCATGAATTTTAAGCCGAAATTCATTGAAATTCATTGAAATTCACGAAATTCATTGAAATTCACGAATTTCGGTCCGAAATTCATCGAAATTCATTGAAATTCATCGAAATTCATGGATTGCGGTCTGAAATTCATTGAAATTCATCGAAATTCATGATTTTTGATCCGGAATTCAAGAAACCACGTGAATTATGGTCCAAAAGTAATTAAGATTCATTTAAATGGATAAAAATATATCAATTGATACAAAAACTAAATAATACTTGTACAAAACGTGGAAGTGCATAGAAAAACAATCATTTTCATGCAATTTATTTGTAATTTAATGCGGTAAGAGTTCTCCGGTATGCGCGCTTAGGCTGAAGCAGCCTGGCTTCTTATACCGTCGGAAGCATTCGATTTTTCTCGGTCTAGATTTGGTCTAAATGACCGTCTACAGACCTAAGCAACCGGTCTAGCATTGAGTGGCCGTTGCGGCTGGAAGGCCCTGAAAAAATTACTGCGGCGTCGGGACTAAAAAGTAGCCATGTTCATCCCTTGGCTTGGCGCGAATGTATCCCCGCGTTTCCGTCGCGTTGCTAGGCGTGCTGTGAGCACTCACCTACGTCATGCCCGGGCGGCCAGGGGGCCGTCCGAAAGCCGTTCCAGAAGGTTCGAGAAGGTTTTCGGAAAGAACGGCCAGGAAAAAGGCCCAGTCCCCTGAGAAGTGACACACTGTTTGCAGACGTTCCGGCAATTAGGCAAGGTCAAGGAGCCCTGCCGAGGGAAGGAATGGGAGGGGGGAGGGGGCAGCCGGGGCGGCGACCTGCATCCTTGGGCCGAGAAGCCTCCCTCGGCCGCCAGCCGCCACGCCGTCAGGATATTGGGACCTCAGCTGCCCTCAAAATTGGCCTAGAAATTCATTCGAACATGTTTCTGAAGCAGTGAAAGGAATGGAAGACGAATTTGAAATTTTCAGATTTGTAATGTAAAGCAAAATATTAGATCACTTGGGTGAGCCACTTGTGAACAAAGACTATTCATCCCAGAGACCCCTCATTGTAAAACGCCATTGTCGTCTGTTTTCTCTCTTCCCCGAGACCCCCCCCCCCGAGAGTGAGCCAGTGTGCGTGTGTGTGTGAATGTGTGTTTGTGCGAGGGTCGGCATGCCTGCCCCGGTGCACTCCTCCTATTGTCTCCAATTTTAACTTCTGTCGCTTTCAATTTTTCAACACTTTAAGCGCCATTTTCTGCTTCCTCATGTCCACGCGGTTAACGCCATATTTTATTTTTGGATTTTCTGACATTTTTTAGTTTTAACCCAATTTGATTACGGAATTATAGAAACACATTTTCTTGTGTATCTCCCGAAGGCCTAGACCTAGAACTGAATTTCAAAACTACTCTTGTACATCTTTTCATGGCGCATTGAACGAGCCCCTTTATTTTACTCTTAGACTTCTAGAAGCGAATTTACATTTTGCAGCCAGAGGCAATTGTCCTTGGGGGGCCAAGACCGCTCCTCTCTTGGCCGACCCGGACTACCTGCTTGGGTCTCGCCCGCAGCCCGCACTGCCCGCCGGTGCAAACGGGGCTCGTCTGAGCCGTGGCCGCCCGCGCCTCGTCGCCTAGCTTGGCGGCCTTGCGGGCGCTGGGGGAGACAGACAGACACGTTCGCAGCTCCCAGCACAGCTCCCAAGCCGACTGCTGACCGACTCCGCACAGAGCCTCGTCGCTCTGTCTCTCTCGCACTTATGCGGGCCGCCCCATGAGTGCGACAGAGACGGAGCGACGAAGGTGATATGCGGAGTCGCTCTGCAGGCCTGCGGCAACGAAATCTCACACCGAAATTCCTCAATTTTGTGATTAAATTCTTGAATTTTGTTGTGAAATTCACGAATTTTGCTGTGAAATTCAATGAAATGAAATTCATTGAATTTCATCGAAATTCATCGAAATTCATCGAAATTCATTGAAATTCATCGAAATTCGCTGAAATTCGCTGAAATTCGCTGAAATTCACCGAAATTCAAAATTTTGTACACCGAAATTCAAAGTTATTTCCCCTTGCATTTTCGTCACAAGGGGACCAAACATTGAAGGAAATGACAAAAAACTCGACTTCAAATTTTCCGATTCGATGTCCGAAAATGACCCATACACTGCAAAAAAGCTTATTTTACCCCTTTTTTAGGTTTTAAAAAATTGGTAAAGGGTGTAGATATATATCTTGGCACCAACTTTGAGGTGCATTCTTAATCTCATATGTTACTCTTCCGAAAAAAAAAGTTTGGCTGGAATCTGAGTGTATCACCTGAATACGTTCCCTTGTTAGGCACGAAATCAAACGCTGTTTTGACCTTCAATCACGCAAATTGGTGTGCAGATGCCTGGAAAAGAAACCTAGCCTGCCGAAGGCAGGCAAGCGCCGCAGGCCAAGGTAGGTGTAACGCCAGGCGCGGATTGTCGTAACTGGCGCAGCATCGCGAAGCCTGTTACGACAAGACACTGTCTGGCGTACACCTACCTTGTATTATACATACCTAAGGACGTATCTGCGCATGCATAACTATGTATAAAGAAGTCCGTAAAAATTTACTGTGTTTCGAAGAGGTATGACAGACAGTCTGCACTGTTTCCCGTTTAGCACATGGCCCTTTTAACGTTCCAGAAGTGCCCGATCGGCGTCATGATAAAGTCAGAGACACCCACGGATTCGAGTCTGCATCTGGAGTCGAGCACCCCGCTGGAGTCCTCTGTTGTTTTTGAGGCAGGCAGTCCCCTTTGGTCTTGCGCTCCACTGAAGTCACCAACTCCCCTGGAGTCTGGCACTGCCATGGAGTCTGGCACTGCCATGGAGTCTGGCACTGCCATGGAGTCTGGCACTGCCTTGCAGTCTGGCACTGCCATGGAGTCTGGCACTGCCATGGAGTCTAGGCACTGCCATGGAGTCTAGCACTGCCTTGGAGTCTGGCACTCCCCTGGACTCTGATATTCCACGGAAGTCACTAGCGTCTGGCACTCCACTGCAGCCTGGCTCCCCGCTGGAGTGTGGCCCTCCGCCGGAGTCGGGCGCTTCACTGGAGTCGCTGCCCCGCGAACTGCTGCTGGCGGTGCTGGCCTACGTGCCCACCGAGCAGTTGCTGCCCTTGCGGCTGCTGGGCCGTCGCTGGAAGAAACTCATCCTGGAGGAGCCGCTGTGGCGCCACCGCCGCCTGGACATCCCTGTAGCAGTTGACGACAACGCGCTGTTCGCGGCCATCCTGCGCATGGCCCCCGCCCTGGACACGCTGAAGCTGAGGACGGGCTACATGAGGAGTTCTCAAGGACTCGCTTATCTCAGGGCTCTTGCTCAAGGCAAGTGCAAGGTATGTCACCTACACTCTTATTCAGGGGTGTTCTGAAACCTAACGCCTTTAGTCGCTTGCCTTAGGTTTTGTACCGCCTTGAGTCGCCTCACCACGTAACGCCAAAAGGCGCCTCAAAACAAAGCGCCTTAGGCGCTCTCTTTTGAAACACCTTGGGCCCAAACCACTGCATGTGATAGCAATGCACGGCTGCTAGGACTCATTCGAAAAGGTGCGTCCCATGTAAACACCTCTCACTTTGATTTTATTGGTGGGGGTGCGCCCAGGCCAAAGACCCCTGCTGCACTATGAATGCAGCGCAAGGTGTAGGGGTAGGTTGGGGAAGAAAAGTACAAAACGCGTACTTTGCACTGTACAGAAGTTCCAAATGAGGATTCAACTATTCTGCTCTCGTGAACTGGTAATCCAATGCCTTCCTAATGAAATGGATCGCTGTTCGTTGATTATAGTTCCCCACATTACGTACAACATGCCAAAATGTATGTGATTTCGGAACTCCTCGAAAAGGGTAAGAAAAGTACACCACCGGGAAAGAAAAGTACAACGAAAAGAATTGCGAGTTCGAACCAGGAGACCACCAATCTTGGCTCAATACAGGTTTACCCCTAAAGTGGAGAGCTTTCACTTGCCATTAGTTCAAGTTTCGTCAAAATTGGTCAATTGGTTCTGATTCTACATGGACTCATCACAGAAGGTCCAAGAAGCCTTTTCTCAGAGATAAGTGGGTACAGCATTTTTGTTCTTTTCTTCCTCTTTTCACGTAAATGCCCAATAACTTGTTAAATTCTAGTCTAATTCTATAACTTGTGTTGACATTTTTTGGTTGTCTCGCCTAATCAAATCTATTTCCGTGATCAATTCAATTTTCATCCCGCTTTTAGTTTCATAGAGGGTGTTTTTTTCTTCCCCAATTCCTGTACTTTTCTTCCCCAGCCGACTGTACTTTTCTTCCCCATTTCATTTTTACACTTATAAAACATTGTGTTGAAGCCTGAGAGCATCGAACGGCACTGTTTTTCAAAGATAATGGTCTAAGCTATAAGGTGGTACCTTACATTGGACTGTCGGCTGATTCTGCACGAAGCTGTACTTCAAAGTGCAAACATTTAAAAAAAAGATTTTCATAGTTATTTTTAATGTGTTTTTCAAACGTGCAGTTTGTTTCAAAATATTATATGTCGAACTGGGCTAAATTAATTTTTTGTCAGCGGGATGACCGATCTTTCTAAAACCACTAACGTGATGGTTCAGTGTAGTTTCAGTTATATATAACGGGTGTACTTTTCTTACCCGAGCTTCAAGTGTACTTTTCTTACCCAACCTACCCCTATGCTGTCCATACACCTTGCGCTTTCTTTGCATGGCAGTTCGAGGGGTCCTATTCAAAAGATCTTATCTGCGCGTTCCCCCTAAGACAATCTTATCTTAAACGCATGCGAATTTCACTCAGTTTGACCACTTGTAATGGGTACAAGAGTAAGCGGAATACATTTCTGCATGCACTGTTGGTTTCTTTGATCTTTCATCTTCACATTTCAGTGAATTTAATCACAAATTATATTGATTTGTAGCTGTATCATATGATCAAACTGAGTGGAATTTGCCTGCGTTTAAGATAAGATTGTCTTGGGGGGAACGCGCAGATAAGATCATTTGAATAGGACCCCTCGAGTTGACAAGGTGCGTGGAGTCCAAACACCTTCGGCCTAGGCTAAAGTAGGCGCAAAATGTACACAGCTTAAATACCAAGGGCTTGTTTGCTTCTCCGCAGTTTTGAATTCAAATCATTGGCTGAGCGATAGCGAAGCCTGTTACTCCTCCATTGCGCTCCATTGGGGTTGAAAAGTTTTTCCTGTCCGTCTGTGTGTGTGTGTGTGTGTGTCCGTGTCCGCACTTCTCCTCCTGAACGGCTCGGCCGATCTCGGTGAGATTTTGCACACTTTTTGGGCATGTCCTTGGCTCGGCACACGCGAAATTTCACTATCCTAGCTCAACTGGTTCAGTTTTTATAGCTGAAAAACACCTAAAAAACGGCGAAAAATCGAGTTTTCTGCAGGCGGATCACTTCTCTCTTGAAGAAGGGGGGGGCCAGCCGCCAGCCCCGACAAGTTAAAAAGTTACAAGGGATCTAGAATGAAGGGGGGTCTGAGGGGCGGAGCCCCCCAGCATGCATCAAGTTGAAAGTAACCGAAGATGGACAAGCCATTGCCTGCCGAAGGCAGGCTAGCGCCGCAGGCCAAGGTAAGGTACGCCAGGCGCGGATTGGAGGAACAGGCAGCGAGACATCGCGAAGCCTGTTACGACAAGACGCGGTCTGGCGTAAACCTACCTTGTTAATTAAGTAATCATACATGTTGGCTTGAGGAGAACTTGACAGCAGCACCAAGGACCAAGGGGCTAGTGGAGACAAGTGCTGATTGAACTTGCATGATTTTGACACTTGTCCACGTCACACGAAGTTTAACACTACTTCGAAAAATGAAAAACAATATTCGCCGACGCGCGACTAAGTCAGGAACAGTTGTCAGCACACAATGCAAGAAGAAATTTGCTTTAAGTTATCCAAGTACGCGTGATGACCCGGCGGCCATTTTGGGGTTTTGTTTGTTGGCCGTTTGTGCAGTGCGCACATTTTCATCGAAGCTAGTCTCAAATTTTTCATACCTGACTCGAATCTGAATCTGCACTCAGAGCGTCTTGGAGACGAGAGTTTTTGAAATGGCCGTCGTAACGTGATGTTGTAGTATTTATTTTATCAAAATTATGGTTTTACATGAATAGGCCATTCCGCTGGTTGGAAAAGAGGAAGTAAAGAAGTCCGTACTTCCGTCCCCTCGCCTGCGGGTGGACGGAACTTCCGCTGCACTGCGAGAAAAGATCACGGTAAATCCTGTACTGATTACTCCAGACTTCACCGTAGTTTTTTTAACAGGCAAAACCGTGGTTTTTTTACAGGCAATACTGTACTTTTTTTACAGGCAACACCGTCCTTTTTTTACAAGGAATCCCGTACTTTTTTACCCGGCAATCCCGTACTTTTAATACCTATCAAAAACTGCTATAATTTATTTCAGTCGGTCGACCCTCGTTTTTCAAGATTCTGATGTATATAACTGAAGTCGGACTCCTGGACCCCCCTTTCGACCACTCGTTGAAAAGGTCTTGACGAGACCTATCGAAAGGTGCAATAAAATTTTTCAGTCGGTCGACCCCCTTTTTTCAAGATCCTGATGTGGGCAATTCTTGGGAGCGGCCTTTGTTGGGACCAGATCTGGTCCTTCTTCGGCATGCACTGTACGAAAGAACGGTAACTACTGATAAAAAAAACTACGGAATATTTTGTAAAACAAGTACGGAAAATACTGTAGACTGTACGGTGGATACTGGTTTTTGAAGTACGGTAAAGTTTGGCAAAAAAAATTATCCAGGATTTACCGTCATTTTTTCTCAGAGTGCAGATCGGCCGAGCCGTTCAGGAGGAGTAGTGCTGACAGACAGACAAAACTTTTCAACCCCACCTGAGTAACGGGCTTCGCCATCGCTCAGCCAATCAAAGTGAAAGGTGTTCACATGGGACGCACCTTTGCGAATGAGTCCTAGCAGCCATGCATTGCTATCACATGCTGTGGTTTGGGCCCAAGGTGTTTCAAAAGAGAGCGCCTAAGGCGCTTTGTTTTGAGGCGCCTTTTGGCGTTACGTGGTGAGGCGACTCAAGGTGGTGCAAAACCTAACAAGGGAACATATTCAGGGGGTACACTTAGATTCCAGCCAAACTTTTTTTTTTCGGAAGAGTAACATATAATATTAAGAAAGCACCTCAAAGTTGGTGCCAAGATATATATCTACACCGTTTCCCAATTTTTTTATACCTAAAAAAGGGGTAAAATAAGCCTTTTTGCTGTGTATGGGTCATTTTCGGACATCGAATCGGAAAATTTGAAGTAGAGTTTTTTATCATTTCCTTCAATGTTTGGTCTTCTGACGAAAATGATAGAAAATTTTGGTCTGTTTCATATATTATCATATTTTGCTCATATTTGGATCGACTGCCCAATTACGACCGAAAATCTGCTCGTTGCATGTAAAAACATGGGCCATTTTACCCGTTTTTTTCAGTTTAAAAAAATCAGGAGGGGTCTGGATATGTATCTTGGCACCAACTTTGGGGTGCATTCTTAATCTTATATGTCATTCTTACGAAAAAAAAGATTGGCTCGAATCTGAGTATACCATCTGAATATGTTCCCTTGTGGGGTACCATGACCACCCCTTTCGTTCTCGGGAACTGTTTAGCCGACGTCGGCAACCGGTCCGCAGGACTTCCGAGAGACCCAGTTCCTTTTTAATTTCAACCAGAGCTTGACCTTCCTGCTTCAAGGGTGAAACCGTAGCAGCCCGTCAAAATTTTTGGCCCGCCCTTCTATTCAAAAAATAGGGGGAGGGCCTATGCATTTGCCTTTGTGTCTGTGTGTTGTTGTTGTTGTTGTTGTTGGCGTCTGTGTACAAGGAAGGAGTTGAGCTAGAGTAACCAGATTTGGAGGGTACTTCAGGAGTACCGTCCAAACAAATAATCCGGTGGTGCAAATCCCGTCCGGGTCGCACAAGGGCTGCTGCAGGTGCATCATGGTTTACATGAGCGGGAGGGGGGTTTCCGCCATTATTGGTGCTAGCAGGGCACATAGGGGTATTTTTGGAATCGGGGCGACGAGACAAGATGAATGGACCTGGTCCCGACCCCATTGGTCGCTTTTACAAGTTGGCCAGATCAGGATCTTCAAAAAAGGGGGTCGACCGACTAAAAAAAATTATTGCAGATATCGATTGGTCTCAGCAAGACCTCTTCAACGAGGGGTCGGAAGGGGGGGTCCAGGAGCCCGCCTTCATGAGTTGTGGGAAAAAGTGCGACGGACTCGTTTTGCGCTCCTGCTGTGCCTCTATTGCAAGGAGTTGCAGGAGCATGGCAAATATGGGTATTTTCGGAATGAGGGCGAAGAGACAAA